ATATATAGAGAGAGAGAGAGAGAGAGAGATTTATATATTAAATAATATATTTTTTTTAAAATAAAAGAAAACCTCATAAATGATCTATATGGTAGTGAAATTACATAAATGTTTTCGATTATTTTAATCCATTAACACTTAAACGGCTAAAAGTTAACAAAATGAGTAAAAATGAAAATTTTGAAACCACAAAAATCATCTCAGATTTTTTAACCTACGGACCATATCGTAGATTTTTTAAAAGCAACGAACCATTTATAAAGTTTTGTCATAAAATTATATAGTGGAAATATCATGACCCAAAACTAAACAAAATTAGGAAATTCTTACAAACATTCCATTAAACAAAATGATAAAACAATTAAAATAGTTCTTAACAAAACGTAAATATTATTTTACAACAAAAATCCAATCACAATCATAAAAGAAATGCAATTTTCATATGGGTTTTCCCCCTTTCCAATTTCCATTGCTATTCCTCTCTACATCGTTTCGAAGAAACTTCCATTTCACATTCCGTGACATATTTCGTGTTGATGGGGGGAAGGAGACTTCTTTCAAGAACATCCAATTCATCGTTGTCCGGGAGGAAACAAAATCAAAAAGATAAATCAAGATGGTTCGCAGATTCGCAATCATCCCCAACCAAATAAATTTATACCTTGAAGGGGTTTGTTGCTTCTAGGGTTTCTTTCGTCCCCATTTTGGGTGTCATCGTTTCTCTGTTTCGCTTGAAACTTTTCACAAACATGTGGTGTGCGTGCACGGTTTGATTCGGTTTTCGCCACAGGGACAGAGTCATGGGTTGTGTTTGTTGCAAGTTTCCATCGTCTTTGTCTGATGGTGGTAAGAAGATCAAGCGGAAGAGACGAAAAAACGCCACAGCAGACGAGTTTTCCGAAGTTATTCCTATCCCTTCTCACGATTTCAAGCTGGAGTGTGCCGCGCTTACACGACGGGGGTATTACCCTGACACCCCGAATAAAGATAATCAAGATTGTTTCTGTATCAAAACAAGTATCCAAGGTAACCCCAATGTCCACATCTTCGGTGTTTTCGATGGCCATGGTCATTCCGGCAAGCAATGTTCAAATTTCGTCAAGAACAGGCTCATCGAGATTCTTTCCAGTGACGAAACATTGTTGGAAGATCCCGTAAAAGCTTACAACTCCGCTTTCTCCACAACTAACAACGAACTCCACGACAACCCAGACATCGACGATTCCATGAGTGGCACAACTGCGATTACTGTCCTTGTTATAAATGATAAGCTTTACGTGGCTAATGTCGGCGATTCAAGAGCTGTGATCTCCGTTAAACCTGACCATCAAGGTCGTATAGTTTCTCAAGATTTATCTGATGATCAAACCCCTTATAGAAACGATGAATGTGAAAGAGTGAAAGAATGTGGGGCTAGGGTTTTGAGTGTCGATCAAGTTGAAGGGCTAAAAGATCCGAGTGTTCAATCATGGGGTGATGAAGAAAGCTCAGGTAGTGATCCACCACGTTTATGGATGCAGAATGCAATGTATCCTGGAACTGCTTTTACACGCAGTGTAGGTGATAGCCTTGCTGAAAAGATCGGTGTTATGGCTGTTCCTGAAGTTTCTGTAACTCAACTCACTCATAATCATCCATTCTTTGTTCTTGCTAGTGACGGCGTATTTGAGTTCTTATCTAGCCAAACTGTTGTTGATATGGTAATTAAGTACTAAGTAAATCATATACTGTTAATCTGATTGTTTCTTTTTTGACTTAATGAGCTTTAGGCTTAATGGGTTAAGCACTTTTTGGGTGTGTAGGTTGATAGATACATGGACCCACGAGGGGCGTGTTCTGCTGTGGTTGCGGAATCATACAAATCATGGTTAGAACATGAGAATCGGACGGATGATATAACAATCATTGTTGTACATGTTAACGGATTAATCAATGTGAGAAAAAATGATTAATTTTTGTTGTAAATGATGGTTTTTTTTTTATAGTATCTAACAAATGATCTGGTTACAACAGTCCGGCGGTGAAGCTGGCGGAAGTGGTGGCCAACCACCACCATTGAGACCGGATGTTAGTCCTCAACAGTCAGAGATGTATGGATCGGTTGCAAGTGATTTCTCATGACATCATCATCATCATAATCATCAAACAATTTTCAGAATCACACATGGGTTCATGGACACGGGTTGACCCGTTTAATGGCATTTTGCCCGTAGGAAAGTACAAGAATATGAGATTATCACTTGAGTTGATGGAGGTGGATGATGTTTAGGGTTTTGATTTAAGAAGAAAAATGTAGCTTAGGTGTAAATGTAGTTTGTATGAAGTGTTTGCTGTTGCAAAATAGATTCCTACAGAGAAAATCTAGGGCGATATATATAAATGCCACTATATTTTGGTATTTTTTTCATTTAGTCATTATATTCCAGTTTTGTCAATGAAAGATTTTAAGGTTTGACATTTTTTTAGTTTTGTTAATGAAAGATACGAAGGTTTGTCATTTTTTTCTATTAATTATTTTTGACTTGTGAGGACCTTGGAAGGTCGGAAGTCCTTTTTGGGAACAATCATCCACGCTTATGTACTCCTTGTATTTGAATTTAAGTTTTGTTAAGATTAAACTTTTATTTGATATCGAAGGAAATGAAAGAAGATAAAGATGATCTGGTTGTGTTTGAATATATTGATTTGGATTGTTTTAATGAAAACTAAGATGGTATGAACTTTGGGTTTTTAATACCCTATTTTTATTTTTTATAATCTATTTTTCATGGTATTTTGGTGTTGATTGTTTAAAAAATAAACTTAGGATGGTTGGATGTTTGATATTTTAATTTTGAAGGTTTTTTTTTTTGTATTTTTTGTAAGTTTAAAATTAATTATGATGAGTTTTTTTGACGTTTTCTAACCGGTTGAACCATTGAACCGATAAGGCGACCGGTTAAATGACCAACCCGGATTCATAAAATTGGTTCGAATGGAATGTGTAGTCATTAAACTTTGATAAACTATTATAGGGATATTAACAAAACTTATCATTCTTTGTTCAGGATAAATGTATTTGATTTGCTTTTTAGTATTTTACCGAAATTATGTGGGAACGAGGCATTATTGATAACCAAAAATATATACTATGTATTTTTTATTCATCTGCACCAAACATTTTTAAAAAATGTTTAGTACCAATGTTTGAAATGGTATTTTTTTTCAGATATATTAACGAAAACGATTGTTTTTAATAGGGAAATCTTTAGTAAAGTCTCAATAATTTAGCTCAGTTTATGAAAAAGTTTCAAACTAAATTTTATTTACAACACAATACCGGCTAAAACTTCGGAAAAAACATATTTGGCAGGTTTCATAGATTTAGTCGGTATCATGTTTTTTTCGTTAATTTGGTCAAAATATTAGGATTATTCTGAAGATTACCATATTTTAACCAATAACTAAAATATTAGAACTTTTCTAAAGATTACCTTTGAATTATGTATATTATTAATATAAACAAAGAAAATACAGTTGTTTCTAATTTATAAGAATAGAAAGGTGGACTGACATATTGTGTATTGACCACTTCAAACTTTTTATGTTCCTCCTATGCATCGTTGTGAGTGTTATAGTGAGATATACTATGTGAGTGTTCCTCTGATGTTAATGTTTCTCTTATGTTCTTTAACTTAACTATCATTCAACCTCAGTACCTTAACAACTATCAACTAACACACGTCTATCGAGAGTGAAAAATGAACATTGAATAGCAATTTAAATGGAAAAGAGGGAAAAGTGGTTATCTATTTAAACTGTCATTCAAACTTCACTTTTCACTCTCAATGGATGTGTGCTAGGGGGTGTTTGGGAGTGCTTTTTGAACTCTAAAAGTGCTTTTAGACAAAAGTACTTATTGACTTATAGTGGTGGTAAAATGAGTTTTTAAAAAAGTGTTTGGATTAACTTTTATGGTGAAAAAGTCAATAAGTCAATAAGTTAAAAAGTGTTTGGTTTACAAACTCATTTCTGAAGTTATTTTGGTTGAAAAATCATAAGCAGTTTCAAAAAGTCAAGTTTTACATGTTTTTCAAAAAAAGAGCTTTTTGAAACTAATAGAAAAGCTATTCTGAAAAGTGTTTTTGAGTTTGTCAAACACTTTTTTTGACTTATTGGCTTTTCAAAAAGCCAATAAATCAATAAGCCGTTTTGAAAAGCAATCACAAACACCTCCTTAGTTAGGTTAAAGAGCATCAGAGATCTCACCATGACAACAGCGATGCATAAAATGAACGTAGAGAGTTTGAAGCGGTCAATAAGCAATATGTTAATCCACATTTCCATACCTAGAAATTAGCAACAATTATAATTTTTTATAATAAAAAAGATGTGTTACGTTTATAAATGATTTGTTAATAAAAATATGCATTTAATTCAAGGGTAATCTTCGGAAAAATCCAATATTTTTGTTATTGGTTAAAAATAGGGTAATCTTTAGAAAAATCCTAATAGTTTGACCAACTTAACGAAAAAAGAAGGGATATCGGCTAAATCTGCAAAACCGCCAAAAAAAAGTTTTTCCGAAGTTCTAACCGGTATTATGGACTTTTTTATAAATAAAACTTAATTTGAGATTTTTTCATAAATTATGTTAAAATATTGATAGTTTACTGGAAATTTCCCTTTCTATTTAACTCGTTTTTCAATCAATTGTAACATGTGAGGCCTTTATATCGTACCTACTTCTCATTTGTTATGTTTCTTAGAATTTTTGTTAAATTTAAGTAAAAAAAAAGCGAAGCATCTTCTCAAAATTTCAAACTTCGTTCTTAAAATTCTGAAATAGTTTTTTTCATGTTTGAAATTTGGAATTTGGAATCTCAAACTCAGTCTGAAATGTATTTCTTTTGCGAGAAAAAAATACTTTTAATGTAATATAAAGTTAGTATGAAAAATCTGAAATGACGCATTCCGGACAAAATGATCATTTTCCAAAACACAAAAAATTTAGTGATTTTGATTAAATCTTTCATTCCCGATGGTCATTTTTTTGTCAATATCCTAATTTTCTATTGTGACCATCGTTTTCATTGACAACTAAAATTTATTGGTTAAACAATAAAAGCAATCACGATATCATGGTTTGTATGTAATTTGCACTACATTCTATCATGTTTCACGAAAGGTGTCTCATGGAAGTTTTATAGGAGTATACTCAAACAAACATCCAATCGTATACATTCATTCTATCTTGTTTCAAGAAGGGTGCCTCGTGGAAGTTGTATGTAATCAAACAAATATCCAATCGTAATCCTCATTTCTAACTTATATAAGTTTACAAAAATACCTTTTGAATTCGTTAGCTTTTTTACAAATTTGTCTTGATCAGAATAACTTTATTATGTCTATAAACTTAATATATGAGATTAAATTTAATATATATGATAAACTAATATCAATTTAACATATAACATAATACGGAGTATTACAAATAATAAATATTACAATTCACTAATCACTATATACTTAAATTATTTAGTACTGTATAAACTCAACTCAAACTTGAAAGACCAAAATGTATTACATGAAAGTTTACACAAAAATATGTGAACAAAAATGAATAAATTAAAAGTTGTCATTTTTGGTGCATAATCACAATCAGTTTTTGCCTATTTCTTTTGGTGTAGCAGCAACAGGGCATTTACCTAATGTATTCCACAATATATAATCCCCAGAGTGGACCTGTTGCCAAATATATAAAGATTTTTTTTAATATAAAAATAGACTTACAAAATATAGAGCTACGGAAACACATAAAGAAAATCACCTGAGTAGAATACTCCACAGGTACTTTTACAGATGGAAAAATGTTTACCTGCGTATCGATTAGCCACAAAAATCTTCATAAACTCAATATTTTTTTTTTTTTCCTTTTAGTAAGCTAATATTAAAAAAAGAAACACAATAAAAGCTTCTGTTTTTTATTAAAAAAAAGGAACAACAGGAATAGACTCACGGATTTAGGATCTATTGTCATTCCTGATAAAGATGCCCCAACCATCTTGAAAGATACCTGTGCCAATTTGGTACAATTAATAAATGACCATTTTGCCCTTACATTCCAACAAACAATTTTCACAATATTCATAAATTTTTTAGGGTGGAAAAAATAGGTGTCTTAATGTCCAGATTAAGTAAAAAAGAAACGGCCATGAGACTAAATGACCATTTTGCCCTTCCATACCTTTGCATAGTTGTAAGCATGCCAGCAAAACGGTTCTTCCAAATCAACAGCCAGAAGATTCTTATTCATCTTCTCAATCAAATATTCATCTACATTAACCATGTTATTATTCCCCAACTCCATTTCCGTATCACTCTCTTCATCACCCACAATCCCTTGTAAAAATCCGGACGAAACTACCCTTTGACTTTTCCACGGAGCAAACCTCACAGTTCCAGGAAAACTGGCTTCAATACTCTTATTCCCACTAACCCCACGTCCACTCGGTATAATTTTCCACTCAACAAAATGATCAGTAAATGACACACTTCCAATAGAAGGTGTCCCCTCAATTCCCACTATCTTTCTTCTAGGAAAAGGCATATTCAAAGTACAAAACTCCATTGTTAAAGGACTCTTATACCCCTCCATCAAACTCAACTTAAACAAAAACGCACCTTCGTTTTCTGACACCATTGAAAGCTGATAAAATCCCTTGATTGGGGTTCCTAAAGAGCATGGACTTTGATAACGTAATAAGACAAAGTTCCCAAGTGGAGGTGAAAACATAACTGCTTGTTTATCCCCTCCAGTTTGTTCAGGAACTTGAGCACATGGATGAAATGAAATTACTTCGATTTTTTTACTGTCTAATCCGGTCAGGGGAAAGAGAACGTCGGGCAGCCCTTCTAATTCTGCCCGACAATTTACCTGACCGGATATCGACAGGCTGTCAGGGATTTCATCCCGGTCATACATTGCTGCAGTTATAACCTCGTGAATTGTGAATATTAGTCTTTGTTTTCCTTTGTATAGATAAGGTTTCCAAGCTGGCTGCTTGCTGTCGACAGGTGGCATATCGGTTAATGAGAACCCGTTATTTCTAATAGTAGAAATGTTTGAGTAGTTGATGTCCAATGGGGTGCCTTTGTTCAAGAAAAGTAGCATTTCATTAAATGATACTTCAATTTAAAAAAGAAAGTTTAAAAGTAGAGATTAGATTTCAAACCGAAGGGCATTGCACAAGTGATGAAGCTTCGAAGAGCATCTTTCTCAGGGTTTTTGGGACCAAGCTTTGGAGAATCTGATGCACCAGAGCCACCAGAACCAGTGGTGGAATTGGTGGAGGTTGCAACTGGTGGTGCTACGGGTTTTGGTCTTGCAGAAATGCCAATACTTCCAGTTAATGAATCCAGTAAACCTCCAACAGATGAAGCTG